AGTAGTCAGAGAGCAAAGTGGAACCTCTGAAAGCAAAGCAGGGCTCCCTGATAGTAGGAAGCCAACTAGCGGCCCGCCGGGTTCTTCAAGGTGTCCTTAACCCGCCGACCTGAGTCGGCGACTTCCCTTAATTTCCCGGTTGAAATTAACGGAAGTCGCCGACTCCGGTCGGCGGGTTAAGGACACCTTGAAGAACCCGGCGGGCCGCTAGTTGGCTTCCTACTATCAGGGAGTGTAGTTGCTGGCACGTCATTCTTCTCCACTGACAGTACTAGGCAGTGTAGTTGCTGGCACGACAGTACTGGCAGGAGTTCCCACAGCTTGTTCTGGCGTGGAAGATGTTCTTGTGGTCGTCTTTGCAGGATCCGAACTACTGCTCTCAAGAACAGCCGGGCTTTTGTAGTTTACGCTGTTGCTAGTGTTCACACGACCGTCAATCGGAAACACATCTGTGTTGGGATCGATTTTCGGAAAAGAGACAATTTTCGTGTCGCCCGGACCGGAGGCCGCAGGAGTCTCCTGGTTCGAAACTGTCGCAACCAACGACGCGGAAGACTGGAAATCCCCATGCCCCTCAGACGCAGTCGTGCTCGTGCGTCTTATCTTCCCCTCATCGAATCAAATTGAGTCGTACTACCCCTCCATCTGCATCTGCTTTCTTCACGATCAGGCTCTGCAGGGCGGTAGCATATTTTTCGTGCTACCACCCTCTCTCGGGTGGCTCTGGCCGGACCTTCGTCTTGTTCTACAAAGTCCGCGTCTACGAAATCAAGACACGAACTTTAGCTGCGCCTTAAAAATCTGAGATTCTTCCACTAGGCGGCTGCGCTGGATCGTGGGGAATTCAAATATGTATGGATCCGCACCTTGAATCGAGAAAAGATAGAAGGGATACATCTGGAATCTCTATCAGAGAAAATCAATATCAGGATCTATCGACATCTCAGCAGCTCCTGGCCCAGATGTATATCTTTTCCTCATTCTCGAGGCTCCGCGCCCCCGTTTTCCGCTTTTTCGTCGTGGTCTAGTTTGCTTGTGCTTAGACTAGGGGCGACCTGCTAGCTTTCGTTCTTGCACCTTGTGCGCTCGTGGCCGTGGAAGAGAAGATGTGAACCCGTCCAAAGAAGATGTTGAGAGCCAGAGCCCGTCAAAAGAAGATGAAGTGCTGCCAGCGCTGTGGAGAGGGAAATCGCCGACCGGGACCATATTTCTAGATGGAATGCGCACACAGATGCGCGGGGCGCTGAGGCTCTACCTACTTTCTACTGTAAAGGGGCACAGCTGACCCGCCACGTACGGGTGTCTAACTATCTGGCATCGAAACTCCGTCGCAAGGAGTCGGGGGAGATACCGACGTGGCGTCAGTGGTGGTGAGTGTGTGTGTGCGATGGGTCTAACAACTACTCTACGGCATAGCTCCCCCTGTTCTAGATTTTTCGGATCTCAGGGAACAAGGAAAAGCCTTGAGCCAAAATGGCTGTCGAATCAAATTGAGTCGCACTACCCCTCCATCTGCATCTGTACAAAAGTATCATCGCATCAGTCGTACTCCACCTCCATCTGCATCAGTCGCACTACCCCTCCATCTCACAAAAGCACCGACTTTCGTTCCGTGCCAGGCGCTAACGCGCGGGCATGCATCACGACTAACACTATTGCATCCCGCCACTTGCTAGGTGGTCTGGCTGCTTACACCCCTCCAAACCCTTCACTCCGACTTTCGACCGTCTCCACGCCCTTCGAGCTCCACCATCCTGTGCTGTGGTGCTTGACTAGTAGCGCTTCTTAGGTCTACGCGACGGGACTTAGATATTTTGACTGGGCATCAATTGTACTGCTCTTGCGGAATGCTACTGATCGCGTTCGTTCACTTGTTGTTCTTGATCACCTGCAGCGGCCATCCCGGATGCCATGCGCCACTTGGTTTGATTGGGCATGCGCGGTTCCGCTCCTCCCGCGCCAACACCCCGCGCACCCCGCTCTGCGGCGCACTTTCTCCTTCTTGCGCGCTGCTGTGGTGATCGTCAAATTGAGTCGTACTACCCCTCCATCTGCATCTGTACCCCTCCATCCCCCGGAGGAAACGAGCAGGGAGGCACCGCTCTCAGGAGAAACACCTACTCGGCCAGCATTTGCTCCTGTTCCTTGTACCAGACGCGCCATGTTGCAACTACCACTCTTCGAGTTGCGGGCACTGAGGTACACTGCTGCAGCTTCTTCCCTTCGAGCCGCGGCCGGGTGCGCTCCGTCTGCTCACAAGCTTACCCTCTGTGGTGCGGCTGTCTACTCTGGGACGGTCCGGGGCTTGGGCGAGTTTAGGGTCATATTGGGCACCATATGTGTTAGGTGCTTGTCCCTTAACTCTGTAGACACTGCGCTGCCTCCGCCCTGGAGCAGCTTGAGGCAGAGCTCACCTCCCGTCTTTGTCACGATCAGGCGCTTCAAGGTGGTAGCATATTTGTCATGCTAACACCTTCTCTCGGATGGCTCTGGCCGGACCTTCGTCTCGTTCTACAAAGTTGGCGTCTACGAATGCAAGACACGAACTTTAGCGGCGCAAAAAGATCTGAGATTCTTCCAATA